TCAATGGATGGAAAATGTAATAGATGTATTATATTGAAATAAAATAGTACTTGAGGTATGAAGTTGAAATGTTTTAAAGATGTTGTAAGAAATTGAAACCGAACTCAAACTTGAGGTGGTAAAGTGTAATTTACCCAATTTTATATGCATGTTTTGAATGAAAACCACTAGTATTACATCATCATAGGTGGGGTCTAGTAAGTAGACGTCAGCAACTAAAGTTTCCATGATTTCAAAACAAATTACATCAATTATCATTGTACGTTTTAACAGAACTCATCCAAAAATTACTGTGAACTAGATTTGGAAAAATTAGTTTATTATTGTACCATCGTTGGGGCAAAATGGTTTATCAATAGTTATGTTAATTTGCTGCGGTTTCCATTTTTATTTCTTCTTTGTATCTCTTTATATTTGTGCTTTGCAGAAAGATTATGCTACCTGTGTTGGTGGAAATGTTTTCTACCTATGTGAGGGAAAATCGAGTTTATAATACCTTTTGTCCAAAAGCTCCCATCGCCATAACAATTGTTTGGGTTAATATTTAAATTTTGAGCTTTCAGGAAGGAAAGCCCAAGAGAGTTCAATAAAGAAGGTTTTGCTCGAAACCCAGATCATCCATCTCGAGATATTATGGCGGCTCCCCATTAATGTAAAGGGCCAGTTGCTTACAAGAAGTGACAAATGATGGAAAATCACCAACTCTCGGCCCAAAAGTTCTTTTGGATGGCAAACACGTAAAAAGGCCGGTGACTCACTACTCTTCAGTTGCTTTCGGGCAAGAACAGAAACAACACAGCTGGGCTAATTTATCTATAAAAGGGGGAAGAGGGCTTAGAGACGAGGACACTTAACCAATCAAACAAACAAACATACAACTTGTCTCTTAGCCAAGCAAATACCTAGAAAGCCATGCTTTGTCCAGACTCTGCACCCTTTTAGCCTTAAACTTCCTTAAAAAGACATCTTTTGTCTATGTAAAAACTTTGTTACCTTTTTTTTTTCCCTAAATGCTGTAGTATCGATCTCTCATGTATAAACTCTTTCCCAATCATCCCCTTTAGTACTCAATCATTTTGTAACTACCAAGAGAAGAGACCACAAGACATTTTAACCTTGCCCGACAAGGTGAAATCATGCCCGACTCTCTTTGTTTTTGCCTTTCCATTAATAGATCTGGTGTTATAATGTATCCCTCAATAGATATGCAAGTATTTTCGGTCTCTTGATTATTCAGAGTTCCATTAACTCCCAGATCTGGTTTACTTAGTACCTTTGCTATTGTAAAAGTAAATGAAACTGATGTTTTGATCAAATCTGGACTCCTAAAACATACAAGATAAACAAAAGTCCTTGATATCAAGGCATAGAAAAGAACTTAATGTGGACTTAACCCATTCACGACAATCCTTTGATAATGAGAAGTTAGAATAACTTGGGGCGCAAGTAATCGGCTTAAACACAATCATTCTACATCTGCCATACAAAGATGGCAGTGGCACGCCTCAGTACTTAGTTAGTTTTAATTGCGAGCCTCACGGCCTACACCTAAGGCCTGACAAAAGCACCTTTCAGAACTAACTCCGTCATCTTCTTGTAGCCCGACGAGCAAGCGAGAGCCAGATAGCCAACCAAAGTGACAACTCCTCGGGGAGCTGTGTGCTCGAGCCTAGGACCCTTCCCAGTGGAATTCCTGCCCGAACAATAATTCTGCTAATTTGTTAGGTTCTAAACCTTTTTTTTCCCATCTTCTTGTTAATGTTAATGTTTGTCTACCTCAATTGGTGGAAACTGTAGTCTAAAATTTGCCTGAATTTTATTGTTCTTCTCATTGAGCAGGTATTATTATTGTTTTTGTATCTATTATTCAAGTACTCCAAATAATGAACGTGTGCGTAAAGAAAAGAACAGGAAAATGATGAGGATTGAAGAAAGAAGAAGAAGATCAACGTGCATATAGTTAATAAGCTAAAATTTAGGAGAATTATTGTTTTACTTTTTCATGAATTAATTAAGAGATTATGATAATTTTTAGTTATAACTAATGATAAGATTAAGGGTACCTTTGGAATGAAAGAAAAGGATGCAAAAAATAGAGATGCAAAAAAATAGAGATGACAATGCTGATGTGGAGTTATCATTTTTTTTGTTTTTGAACAAACAATATTAAATACATTAAGAGCAGCCCCAACATGCCCAATTCCCGTGGGTATAGGCCTTCCCCACTCCCCCCGCCACCAAAAAAGCCTTCAGCCCACACCAATCAATTGGGCTCCATGGGAGCCCGACATCCCAACAGGCCAGAATCGCCTAGCCAACACATAGGTGTTGTGACATCACGCTGACGTCAATCAATTAAAAATTTATAAAAAATATAAAACTATAAAAAAATTATAATTTTTTTTCTATAAATACCTAACCATGTTCTTCTACCTTACACCTGTTTCAATATTTTCAAATACTTTCAACTAATCTTTTATTATTATCAAAAATTAAAAATGAAAAATTCTAAAAAGTTAATTAAAAGTACAAAAAATTATAAAAAAAATTAATTAAAAATACAACATTTCAACCAATCTTTTTCTATAAATACATAACCATGTTCTTCCACATTACACAACATTTTAATATTTTCAAATACTTTCAACCTATTTTTTTATTAGGATTCGAAATTAAAAATAAAATTATTTTATAAAATAAAAAAATACAAATATTTTAATACGAATTGCCTTGGCTATTCGGTTTAGGGGCGAAGATGCACTTAGATAGTTGCTGTTCACTACAGGTCATTATTGTTCATTTAAAGGGAGTGACTTGCCTATAGCCCGCGAGCCTAGCAACACTGGAACTGCTCTAAGAGGGTGGGAGAATGGGCTAAAACTTTACAATGAGCTAGCAACACTGAAATCTTAAAGGCTACTGACAATTTCAATCAAGTAAAGATCCTAAACAGCAAGAACCTGAAGCATCTATTCTTCAAAGCCCTTCCATTCCACACCTACAATACACATCGACCTTCCCAGTAAACAGCCGGGAACACCCACATGGCTCAGTTCTTTTCTCAACCATTTTCAGCCCCTCGAAAAGAGAAATAATTCGAAATATTAAAAAATAATTAACAAAATGTAAACAAAATTTTGCGTCCATGCTAATTTCTGGGTACTTGTACTTTTCCTTCTTCCCACAATATATAGAGGCCCATTGTGCTCCTTCCCATTCCCAATCCCTACACCCTCTCCTTTTCCCTCTTCTTTTTCTCTATCTGCTGATTTAATAGAAAGAACCTGAAGCATCTTTGCTTGATTGAAATTGTCAGTCACCTTCAAGATTTCCTTTATGCTAAGATCCTGATTTCATTGATATTGGCTGGGAACATTATGACATAGTGGTCTCTCATTTTTCCTAAATTCTGATTTAATAAGGTTTTGTTATTTGGTTTTAATTTTGAGGGTATTTAGGTCGATTTAAGTGGTTTTTCTGCTACATTTGAAAGATTTTATAAAAAATGACATTTATGAAATTAAGTGTTAAATTTTGACTATTATTGATAAAGAACGAGACTAGGCTGCTGAAGATTCAGCAGCACCTCTTGTTGCCAACCAATCACGACTGGACACGTGTCCAAGTTGTGAAATTTTTAATCACAACTTGAACACGTGTCCAAGTTGTGAATTTTTTAATCACAACTTGAACACGTGTCCAGCCGTGATTGGTTGGCAGCAGGAGGTGCTGCTGAATCTTTTAGCAGCCAAGTCTTTTCCATTGATAAATACCCCTTTCCATTTGGTGGGGATGGGCACATTTCGCAAAATGGTTATTTGCAATCCAGATCTCTAATTAGTGGTCTAAATTAAGAGTTATTTATAATTGATGATTTATCATATCCTATTCATAACATATTTTTGTACCACATTTTCATACCATCTTAAGTGACATTTGATGTGAAAAGTCACATCATTTGAATTAATTAGATTTTTAAATTTAGTTCATTATTTAATAACTAATAATTAAGAAAAACTAGTTAATTCAATGATGATTGTGGTATACGAGAAGTCTTTTTTATTTCTTTCCTTGGATTTTGCAAATTTTTCAAATGATGTGGCTGGCCGCATCAGATGTCACATAAGGTTGTATAAAAATATGATATAAAAACATGATATAAATAGTACATCGTTGAGGTTTTGGGGAAGAGATAGAGAGGGGCGTCAGCCTCACAGCAAGGGGAAGCTATGGGGACTAAGGACGGGGCTGGGAATCATCGGGAAGGGAGGTGGAAGGTGGTTATGGGTATTTTACTTTCTTCTAGTTTTATTTTCTCTTTAAATTTTATTTTTTATATTAAAATAAGTTTTTTTATATTAACATTACAATGGAATACGTGTTAAATTTTGAGTGGAAGTATTATATGTTGACAAATTCGTCTTTAGCGAGAATCGAACGTATCATTTATAAATATGATTTTAAAAGACGTTAGGCGCTAGTCGTGTGGCGAGCTGGGACCTAGCGCCTAGCTAGGAGGATTAATAATAAAAAAACTTCAAATCAGGAACCTTAGATTTAATGAAATCTAAAGCTTAAGAAAGATGGAAAAATATTTGTTCCTTTTTTTTTATCCCAACCCACTACGTGCGCGCGCACACATAACCGTCTATGTTTTAAGTCTTTTATCAAAGATTATGTTTAAAAAAACAATCATCCCTTCCATTCTATGAACCCAACTCTCCTAAAATGTAAATATGTTTTCGAGGACGACTGAAAACATCACCATTAACATGTATGTGTGTGTGTGTATTTTTTTTTCTTTCTTTCTTTCCAAAGCTTCACATCCTTCCTTCCCTTGCCCAAATTATGAATAAAAAGTGGTAAGGGAAGGAAAGTGATTTCTATTTGAATTGGTAATATTCGAACATGAGTTTAAAGAGTCAACAAGGTCAAGTTGTGGAAGGAAAGTGATTTGTATTTGAATTGGTAATTTCCGAAACTTTTGTGTTTGTCAACAGCTTTGGGACCGAGAACATCCTTAATTATCATTAATATCACCAAAGCAATTAAGGATGTGAAGAATTAGTACCCTTTTGACTCCACACCTTCAATAACAGCAGAGTATACAAATTTTTTCTGTCAACTCCTTGTGTCAATAATTCCACAACCTAGGCTACTCTGTTCAAGCACGTACTGCTCTTTCAAGTATTTACTTCATATGATTTGTTCAAGCTAGCTTAATACAAACCCTCTGAAACTCCATCTCTCTCCTGATTTCCAAAAATGGTTGCCATGATCATTGCATCCACACTCCGATCTCCAAAGCTTCACTTCCTACTTGTTCTCTTCCTTCTCTTAACCCCTCCTATAACACCATTAAACTTCAGCTTCTCCAGCTTCAGTGGTGCTGACTTCGCCACTATACTTCCAGAGGGCGATGCGTATTTGGACCCCCAATTCCTCCGCCTCACCAAAAGCGCTGTGGACCAAGAAAAGAGCGGCAGTGTCGGCCGAGCCACTTTCCGCCAACCCTTCCTCCTCCGGGAAAACGCGACCGGAAAACTGGCTGATTTCACCACCAATTTTATCTTCGCCATCGACTCCAATCACAGCGTTAACTATGGCGACGGCCTCGCGTTCTTCATAGCCCCAAATGGCTCCTTCCTCAACGCCACACTAGGCAAGGGTAGCAGTCTCGGCCTCCCTTTCGACTCCACACCTTCAAACGACACCAGTATTGTGAGGAATCAGTACCCTTTTGTGGCGGTGGAGTTTGATATCTTCCCAAACGGGAAGCAGCCAGCCTTCGACGACCCCAACTTCCCTCATGTAGGTATCGACGTCAACTCCCTCAACTCTTCTATTACCAGCTGCTGGGATGGCGGTATAATGGTTGGCAAACCAAATAGTGCTACCGTTACTTATAATTCCACTACAAAAAATCTTAGTCTAGCCGTCACTAGTTTTGATTACAATTATATCGAACTAGAGATGAAACATATTTACTATATTATTGATCTGAATGATTATCTGCCTGATTGGGTCGTTGTGGGGTTCTCTGCTTCAACGGGTAGCTCTGTTTCTCTTCAGAAGATCATCTCATGGAATTTCACTTCCACTTCACTCGTTGATCACGAGGTTGATGCTGCACCACCACCGGCGGTGGTTGCAGTTCCTGCATCAAACCCCATGGCTGGTTCTGCTTATCGAAGTAAGCGCATAGGACTAGTAATTGGGTTGGGAGTTGGAGGATGTGCTGTCGTGGTTGGTGGGTTGGGTTTGGTTTTGTTCATTTTGTGGAAGAAGAGGGAAACAGGAGAAAGTAGTGATGAAGATCCCGTGGTTCATGAATTGGTTGACAACGACTTTGAAAAGGGGGCTGGTCCCAGGAAGTTTTCGTATAGGGAATTGGCTCAGGCGACGAATAACTTTGGTGAGGAAGAAATGCTTGGAGAGGGAGGATTTGGTGGGGTTTACAAGGGCGTTATACCAGACTTGAAGTCACCCGTTGCTGTTAAGAGGATGTCGAGGGGTTCTAAACAAGGACTGAAGGAGTATGTCTCGGAAGTGAAGATCATTAGTCGACTTAGGCATCGCAATCTTGTTCAACTGATTGGTTGGTGCCACGAAAGAAAATTTCTACTTGTGTATGAGTTCATGCCCAAAGGCAGCTTAGACTCTCATTTGTTCAAAGAGCAAAGCGTGTTAACTTGGGAGGCAAGATACAAAATTGCTCAAGGCTTGGCCTCCGGATTGTTCTACCTACACCAACAATGGGAGCAATGTGTGCTACATAGGGATATCAAGTCCAGCAATATTATGTTGGATGCGAACTTCAGTTCGAAGCTTGGGGATTTTGGGTTAGCAAGGCTTGTGGACCACGGACAAGAGCCGCAAACGACGGCATTGGCTGGAACCTTGGGTTACATGGCTCCCGAATATGTTGTCACAGGAAAGGCTAGCAAGGAATCAGATGTCTACAGCTTTGGAATTGTTGCTTTGGAGATTTGTTGCGGGAGAAAATCTATCGATCCAAAGTTTGGAAGTAGTAAGGTCAATCTGGTTGAGTGGGTTTGGGAGCTTTATGGAGAGGAGAGAGTTATTGAAGCAGCTGACCCAAAATTATGTGGAGATTTTGATGGGCAACAAATGGAGTGCCTGATGATTGTTGGCTTGTGGTGTGCTCATCCGGACTACAAGATGAGGCCTTCAATACAACAAGCCATTCAAGGGCTCAACTTTGAGGCTCCATTGCCGAATCTCCCATCAAAGATGCCGGTGGCCACCTATTTTGCTCCTCCGAGATCGCTCTCAAAGTCGGGTGGTGCTTCTGGTTCTCAAGGAGGGCAAACTGAATCTTCAGGCTAAGCCTACAACACCAATTCCTCAGACTTCACAGGATCTTCTTCTGCAACAAATTCCCATTCGATAAATCTCACTTGGGTAAGAAACAGACTATAATTTACCGACTGATAGGATCCTGGTTTTTCTTGGATATTTTCTAATTTCCCTTTTTTCGTGTTTTTGAAATGGTAAAATCATGCATAAAAAACAGACTGAATATGATGTATATGTGGTAATTGTCGTGATTGATTTTCTTTGACCAGGTCGTAATGTGAAAATTATATGAGAAGTTACACGTTGACATGAACGGATTTTGGACAAAGATAAACGATGGCGCCTTGTGCCGGCTTTGAGGGGGAGCAACTTGTCCAATTGCAGGGCCCCCACCTCTAAAGGACCCTCAACTTTTGGCTGATATATGGTTAGATTAATTAACTCTGCGATCTGATTACTTTGTTTTTCGTTTAGGCTGAGAGAATGGAGTGGGAGATAGAGAGATTAAAGAAAGAATGTATGGATTTTTAATTTCAAAATTTTAATATTATTTGTTGCTGAAGGTCTACCTTTGGATTTAGTGTTTTACTATATTATTCATCATTTTGTTTTGTTTCATGGCTTCTTTTATTTGTTCACTACTAATTTTGTTGATTGATCACATAATTTTGGTGAGATTATGTAATTTGGTACTAGAGCAAAAGGGTCCAATTTATAATTTCCGCATAAGGCCCCTAAAATCTTAAAGATGGTGCCTTGCTCCGCATGTATATGCCTAAGATTATAGAGAGTTTGATGAAATTTACTTAATTTTCAAATTTAATTTGATGAAATTTACACTTTTAAGAGTCAATAAAAGTCACCTGTATAGAATAAAGACTTTATGATCTCTAAAAGTCTATGAAAATCTTGTAGTATTCAATTATCATTGTGGCTTATTTTATTTGACAAGGAAGAGAGGGGAGGCGCGGCAACAATAGTAAAGAGAGAGAAATGTGTTTATAAGGTTGTGTAGAGGAAGTTTTACACCTCGAATCTAAGTCCTGACGGGGTGCAAAATAAACATGAGTAGACCAAGTTGATATATAATATAATAAAACAATTATTCAACATACTAACCCACAAAGTTTTATGGAAATTCAATAGTATAGTATGTAATAGGTTTTCCGAAAACCCTAGCATGCCATAAAACTTTCTTAAAACATAAAACATATGTCGTATATAGTGTGCTAACTAGTGGTATCAGTATAGCTTGAAGACATATAGAACTCTTCCTTCAGAACACTTCCTTCACAAGTATCAATCGCCCGAAGGCTCCTACAACACCCAACCCGAAGGTCAATATAGTGACCACTAGATGAGCACAAAAATCATTGAATATAATCTTTCCAAACATAAGTACATATATCTCAAAAATAACTTTATAGTATAAAGTCATCCATCATTTATACCATAAAGAAGTGTGTAAAAGCATGTTCATAAGCAGTATAAAGTCATCCATTATCTATACTACAAAGAACATGGGTTCAATAAAATATGGTAATTGAAAATATTCTAAGTAAGCGTAATAGTTCATAAAACGTTTCAGGAAATGTAGTTATTAAATCATGATTTTCATGTATGCATTTCTACTATTAAAACATGCATTTTAGAAGAGGTCCACTCATAGATAGGGGTGGGTTCAAAAAACCGAAAACCGAAAAAAATAGCCGAAAAAAACCGAACCGAAAAAAAATCAAACCGAACCGAACCGAATCTGGCTGGTTCGGTTTCGGTTTTTAAGGTCCGGAAACCAAACCGGACCGAATCGAATCGAAAAAAATAATAATATATAAATACTAAAAAACATGCAAGCGTCAAGGTTTGAACCCCTTCCCTGCAGGTTGGGGTTAGTCGCTGCAAGCCCACTTAACTGTAGGCTTCGAATTGTTATAATTGCACCAGTAAGTTATTTATAGGTTTCTTGTATTTAATGCTCCATTTCCCATTTCATATCTCAAACACTCTCTCTCTCCCATTTCCCATTTTCGCTGCTTCCTCAGTCTCTCTCTCTCTCCTTCATCTCTTCCTCCAAATCACTCTCTCTCAAGTCTTCTCATGTCCTCCTCCTCTTCTTCCAAACCATGATTTTCCCTTCTTCCACACCATGATTTTCCCTCGCCCCTTTCGAATCGTAACCCCCTCCAAATTGGAAGATTCTAATCCGGGTTTTCCGATCTCTCACAGGTAATTTTCAAATCAAAACGAATATGATTTATAATTTTATATTGTGATTTACTGAATTAAAATGGGTTTTTCTTTATTTTGTTGGAATTTTGCATAATCTTCCAATTTGGCAACAGATGCATAGGTGTTGCCATGGTTGACGAGAGGTTTGGGACTAAAAACAAACCCCCAAGGTAAAAAGCTCTTCTGGTTGGCTGCTATTTAGTTCTATTGGGTTTATTTTCATGGAAAAATCAAAGAATTAACACATGCATGTGTGTTTTCTTTGCGAGAGCTCTCAGATCCACAACAAGAAAGGTGCACTAACACCTAATAATGTCAGATCCATGGCAAATTTGTTCTAGATTAAAAAAAAAGCTTTATTTGTTCAAGATCCATGGCATATTTGTTCAAGAAAGGCTCTCTGTGTTTTTCTTTTCAGTGCTCAATCAATCTTTTTAGATTTGTTCCAGATTAAAAAAAAAAAGTCATGAAAAAACCAAAACTGAACCAGAAAAACAGAACCGAAAAAAAAAGCCGAACTGAGAAAAAATCGAAAAAAATTAAACCGAACCGAAATTTCGATTCGGTTTTGGTTTTGGGAAAAAACCGAACTGCTGAGAACCGAACCCAGCCCTACTCATAGATACTTCGCTGTCGGAAAGCCACGCAAACTAGCGAAGACAGAAACGCCACAATAAATGCACCTAAGCACATAAAGGGTTCAATTAATAAAACTCTACTTAAATGATTGAATTTGGAAAAATGGATCCAGGACGTCGAAATTAATCTAGAAGGGGTCGAAAAAGTCAACAAAAAGTCAACGGTCAACGGATCGGTCATCGGGTTTAGGCTTAGGGTTTGGACTTGGGTTAGGGATGCTTGGGTTTAGGCTTACATGGGCTTGGGCTTAAAAGCTCGGCCCAAAGGAAATGGGTTTTGGGGTTTAACGGGCCAAAGGCCATGGGTTGGTAGGCCCAAGGGCCTAGTTTGAAAAGGGATTTGGGCTGGGCTTAAAAAACTTGGGTCTGGTTGACCCGTTTTCAGGCCAATAAATTGGCTGGTTTCTGAGCACCACTTTAAATGCCCATAACTTCTTCGTTACTCAACCAAAACAAGTGATCCAAAAATGAAAGTTATAATACTCGACGAGACGAAGAGATTGGTACCTTGCATGACAGCTAAATCACATTCAATTGGCCAGAAAACGCTTCAAAAAGTGACTGTCAGCGGGAAAATTGTTAACCAGACGGAATTTTTGGGTAAATTTTAAACGTCCAAACTTTGTCAATACTCAACGAAATTGAGTGATTCTGAAGCCAACATGTAGTTAGGAATGTGGAGAAGATATTCATATCAAGTGGGGACCTAGTGGTGGTCTGAGGTGGCTGAAAAATGGCCTGAAAGATGGCCAAACGACCACGGACCGAAAATTTTGAGATTTGCACATTGACTTTCCTTGAGCTTTTCCGAGTTCCTACACCACCAAAACCACCCAAAAACTTACTAACCATGAACCTAGACATGATTTACAGTGATAGGGACCAAATTTCGAGGCTTACCTTAATCAGAAATGTGAGAAACTCGTCGAGGAAGATGATGAATAGTGTTGGTCGAGAGGGATAGAAAGGTTTGGGGGGTTCTTTCTTCGTTTCTAAAAATACAGGGGAGGATGGTGGGGCTGTTTAAGTTGTTGTGTTATTTGTGTCTGATCTCAGAGAGGGAAGGGAGAGTTGTAGAGAGAGGGCAAGGGAGTGAGAGGGAAAAGATAGAGAGAAAGAGAAAGTGAGAGGGAGAGAGATGAGAGAATTGAGAAAGAGGGAGGGGACTCACGGGTCCAAAAGGAAAAAGGAAAAAGGGCCGGGGTAAAGGGAACCAAAAAGGAAAGGGAGCCCACATGGCACACCATTTAAGAACCAAAAAACAATAGTTTAAACAAATGAAACCTAACCAAAGTAAAAATGCGAAAATACCCTTCCATTTCGTAAATTCCGGGACGAGTTGTTACAGAAGAATCATTATCCTCTAGGGAATACAAGTCCTAATAGGGAAGAATAACCAGTATCAAATCTAATCTAGGATTTACATAATCACACACTAATACAATGTTTATAACATTCTCCCTTGAATGTGTAAATACTCAAGTAGATTTGGCATCCTGTAAAACTGAGGAAGTCGACTCGTCGACACTAATAATGGGAACATGCTAGTCTCAAATAAAGAATGAATTTGCATATGGACCTAAATCTCACAAAAAACCCAATGGCTATGTTAAAACTCGAGTAGCGACAAAACCCATAGTTTAAGGAAAAGTGCGTAAGAAAATGCAAAGTCAAATAAAACGTCTACACGATGTCATCAGAGATATGATCAACCTAAGGTGGGTGCCTTATCAAAACCTCGTTAGGTAGCAAAAACCCAAAGGGAAAAATGCTCATAGTCGTAGGGAAAAAGAGTACATTAAGATCAAGCAAATATACTTTAGGATACTCCCATGAGTTTGACAGAATTTCGAAGATAATTAATGATGTTACAACTCAGAAAGTTTACACATACTTATTCCTTGAACAAGCTTCTGAAACGTCGCATTCGGTAGTGATTTGGTGAAGAGGTCTGCTAGGTTGTCCTGTGAACGGATTTGCATGACTTCAATCTTCTGATGCTCTTGTTGTCAATGTGTGAAGAAGAACTTCGGCGCAATGTGCTTGGTGTTGTCTCATTTGATACAACTCTTTTTGAGCTATTCGATGCATACTACGTTATCTTCATAGATTGTCGTAAGGACGTCAACGACGAGAGCTTCGAATATGGCCTACAACCGCTTTTATCCAGAAGCATTCCATAGTAGCTTCATGTAAAGCGAGTATTTCAGCATAGTTAGACGAAGTGGCAACTAAGGTCTGTTTAGTTGACCTCAAAGATATTGTGGTGCCTTAAATGGTAAAGACGTAACCCGTTTGAGAGCGTGCCTTGTGCGGTTAGATAGGTAATTTGTGATAGCATAACCAACAAGGCGGGAATTGACTCAAGAATCGAGGGGGGTTGCGGCATCACTCGAGGATCCATAAGGATAAAATAGGCCCAAATCTGTAGTACCCTTAAGGTAACTGAAGATGTCTTTCACACTAATCCAGTGTCTGCGTGTTAGTGCATTACTGTATCTTGCCAAAAGATTAATAGCAAATGAGATGTCGGGTCTAGTGCATTGAGCTAAGTACAATAAAGCGCCTATCACACTTAGATAAAGAATTTCGGGTTTCAAAATCTCTTTTTCATCTTTCTTCGGACGGAAGGGATCTCTTTTTGCATCAAGCGATTGAACGACCGTATGAGTACTTAAAGGCTTCACT